ATGGCCAGCACAGCTAGTGGGGAAGGCTTCTGGGAGTTTCAGTTCACGATCGTCTGGGGGACCCAAAGTTGGGAACCATTGATTTCCGAGTTCCGAGTGAGCTGCCATATTGTATCCCAGTCTTCTCTTCTCCCGGTTGAACATACTCAACTAGTCTTTGTAGGGTTTGGTTCCTAAATCTTTTACCATCTTGACCGCTCTTGAGAGTTCTAGTCTAGCAGCCTACGGAGGCCCACATTTCACCCATTCTTACTCAGAATGACTTGGGGTTGTGCGTTGCGTTACCAGAACATTGGTGCCTGTTGCAATGGGCTTCTTGTAACTCAGCGTTGAGTATCGTGGGCCAGAAGGACGGGGGAAACTGATGTTGCTGAACATTCGTTCCTGAGGTTGAGAGTTCAAATCCCCCAAAGCACCTCCTTTACAGGGGCCGTACTCCATAATCCATAGGGTCCCTTCCAGCTCTGCCGTTCTAAGATGATGATGATGATGATAAGCTCTTGGCAACTGGAGGATGGTGAAGCATGATGGGAGCTGCAGTTGATCAGCGTCTAGGGCAATGATGCCCAACTTTGGGTCCCCAGATGTTCTTGGACTAAGACACCCAGAAGCCTTCGCCACTGGCTGTGCTGGCTAAGATTTCTGGGAATTGTAGTCCAAGACCCTCTGGGGACCCAAGGTTGGTAAGTACTGTTCTACTGTTCTAGGAGTAATAATGGGTTCTTTCTCTCTGTTGTTAGGTGTGAGTTAAACGCACTTGTACGCATCATAGAAAAGGAATGTATTGCTTTGGGCTAGTGCTGGAAGAGGTGAAGAATCGTATGGGGTGGAAGACTGGGGATAAGGGGCAATCTGCTTGAATGGGAGGGGGGAAAGAAGGATCTGATCCAGTATGTACAGTGGTGTCTCTGGAGTAGGGTTGTGGTCATTAGCATCTGAAAAAGCCCTGATAAAACACTGGGATTCTTGTGCAGGCTGAATGGAGGAAGATATTCTGCCCGTTGACTGCCAGCTCCAAGCCCACGGCTGCTCTCGGTGGCTGCCATCAGAAACAATTAACCTTTGAAACTGGGCCGGGCTCTGTTGCTTCTCTGCTGCAGCTGCTGATGTGTTATCCTCCGCCAAGTTGTTGGTTTTGTCAACGAGTATTATCTCTTAGAAACTGCAGGATGTGTGCAGATGCAATGAGAATTCACTTTCCCGCTCTTTTTAATAATCTGATGCCACCGCAAAAGGGGGAAACAGTAATTACATTTTAATTAAAGGGAATGGCCGGGTCTGCATTTATTGAAACAAAAAGAGTGGTTGTATTAATTTTTTTAAAAAAACTTTCCTTAAATGTCTTGCTTGACAATTGCTGATCATGAACTGGAAATACGCAGTGTCTTGAACTGGAAATACACAGCTGACTTTTAACTGCTTCAATCGCTGATTTCCAAAGAGGAGGAATATATGAGGATGCAGGACATACGAGGATGCTTTGAGAGACGTGGTAGTGACTCACACTGAAACACACACACACACAAAAACATAAAACATGCAGGCTTCCTTTTCCCTTAAGTCTGTCCACCACTTTTCTGCATACTCTCCTGCATTGGCTTGCCTTCTAATTTGCTGCAGGGAAAACAATTTTGCTGGATCCCTCTATGGATTGTCAGCTGCTCCTTTGCTCACACCTTGAGGACAGGTCACTGTTAGATGAACTCTGTAGAAGGAAAGAAAGAAAGAAGCAGAAAGAAGGAAAGAACCTGAAGGAAAGAGAGGAAGAAAAATTGAAGGAAGGAAGGAAGGAAGGAAGGATAGGGATAAGGAAGGAAGGAAGGAAGGGAGGAAAGATAGGAGGAAGGAAGGACAGATAGGGATAAGGACGAAAGGGAGGGAGGGAGGGAGGGAGGAAAGATAGAAGGAAGGAAGGAAAAACTGAAAGAACTGGATGTGTTTAGCATTGAGAAAAGAAGAGAAAGGGGTAATATGATAACATTTTTCAAATGTTTGAAAGGCTGTCCTACAGAGGAAGGGCAGGATCTGTTCTCCATCATCCCAGAGTGCAGGACATGTAACAATGGGCTCAAGTTACAGGAAGCCAAATTTCGGCTGAATATCAGGAAAAGGTTCCTAACAGAGTGGTACGCCAACAGACCCCTTGACCTAGGGAGGTGGTGAGCACTCCAACGCTGGGAACATTCAAGAGAAAATTAGACAAATGTCTGCCATCTGCTTTGATATGTATTCCTGCATCTAGCAGGGGGTTGGGCTTGATGGCCTTTTAGGCTCCTTCCAACTTCACTATTCTATGTTTCCATGATTCCTTCTTTCCTTCCACTGCAGGTTTGTGAGATGCTGAAAATATGTTTTTTTGGGGGGCTTTTAAGGCTACAAAGGAGGAGAAAAGCATCATTCCCAATCTTTTTAAAAGCATCAGGAATCCAGCGTGAGGGAACCATGTTATCCTGGCCACACACTACTTAAAATGAGGAGCACGTCTCTCTCTTTCTCAGTTCTTGTCCTTCTTTCCCCCTTTTCACAAACTGTTCAGTTCAGAAAAACATTTTTTTCAAAAAAAATAATAAGCAGAAAAACACAGTTGTGTAAGAAAAATAATTATAGATTTAAACCAAGCACAAACAAGGTTCTTTTTTTAAAAAAGAAATCCTTTAGGCTGGTATTGATATCTGTTGCAGAAATGTATTTGATTTCTTCATGCTCCCCTCTTCATGGGGTAGACCAGATCCCTTGTTAGTGAGCCAAATTATTAATATGTCTTAGGATGGTGTTTATGTATTCATGACTCCTTTAATCAAATGTTGGTGTGTGGGTGTGTGGATTCGTGGCAGGGCGGTAGACAAATGTGCTGTTAACAGCACTGGATGCGTGCTTTCCCAGAAACTATTGTTGTTAAACTGCTCCTCAATGCCGTCAATGTTGAATTTTACTATCCGTCCCCGCCATGTGATACATAGAAATGCTTTGGGGAAGTAAATGGACGAATTACGAATTGTTGCTGAGTGTGTTACATAGAAATGCTTTGGGGAAGTAAATGGACGTGTTTCATTTTTTTCAGGATAGAAAGAGCAGGGATGGGAACTTGCAAATTACGAATTGCTGTTGAGTGTGACTTAAGTTGCACCGGCGACTCAACTCAGACTCGGGTTCAACTTGCGACTCGGAACTATTTTTCTGCCTTGGGATTCAAGTCCCTGTTAGGGATGGGCCTCTAGAAATGCTTTGGGGAAGTAAATGGACGTGTTTCATTTTTTTCAGGATAGAAAGAGCAGGGATGGGAACTTGCAAATTACGAATTGCTGTTGAGTGTGACTTAAGTTGCACCGGCGACTCAACTCAGACTCGGGTTCAACTTGCGACTCGGAACTATTTTTCTGCCTTGGGATTCAAGTCCCTGTTAGGGATGGGCCTCACTAGCGGCTCCTGCCGCCATCACTGCTGCCATCATCCTCAGAGGCAGCAGGCCCAGCTTCCCTTCCAGGATCTGGCTGCTTCTGCGCATGCGCTGCCTAGCTGGTAGACCTGCGCATGGGCAGAGGCAGGGACCGGCTCTGGGAAAGGAAATCGGCTGTCTGTCTCTGCACATGCGCATGGGCTGCTCGGCTTCCCTTCCAGGCCCTCTGTCTCTGCGCATGTGCCTGTCTATCAGCTGGATGGCATCTGCACATGCGCATGGGCTGCTCGGCTTCCCTTCCAGGCCTTCTGTCTCTGCGCATGTGCCCGTCTATTAGCTGGGTGGCGCATGCGCAGTCTGAGATTTTGGGTCCGAGCCCCAAGTCCCAAGCTTGGGAGTCAGGCCGGAAGACTTGCCAACGTTCTGGCTGGATAGGACCTTTCTTTCTCTCATTGCTTGGAAACATTGCTCGAAGTGGAAGGAGGTTTAAACGTTGAGTTTGGAGACAGGATTGCAGCTCAGAGTTTGATCCCGGAAGCAGAGGCTGATGCAAGAGAGAAGGCTCCATGTATATGTTGGAAGAAGGAAAAGCACGTTCTCGGAGAAGGGTCATGATGGAGAGAGGAACAAAATCCAAGTTTTGGGTTGGTCTCAACTCAGGATCAACACTCTGAAAATGATTGTGACGGACTAGAGTCTTATCAAGAACAAAGTCCTCGTTGAGGGACTGTTTTGTTCACGGGCTCTTTTTCTTAATAGTCGTTTGGATATTTTGTACTGTTTTGTTTTGACAAAACCTTGGAAAGGGAATTGAATGCAAATATGGCCATTTGCCTGAAGCTGGAGGGAATTGTGTTTCTCCAGTGAGTCGGATAACCAAAATGTCTCACAGTTGAGAAAGTATACAAAGCCCATCGCTGCACAGTGTTCAAGGGCAAGCTATGGCTGGAATCCTGTTGCTTAGCCTAGTAAAGTTGCATTAGAGTAGGCCCACTGAATCAGTGGGGATTGGGCGAGTCAACTGCTCCATCAGTTTGACTGTTTCCAAGGGGTCTACTTGAGTTGCGCCCTTCTTTGTTCAAGTCAGCTGGCAAGTCATGGGGGGGTCCAAGTCCCAAGTCTGAATCTTTGGTACCAAGTCCTATTGAAAAATAAGCTCTTCCATCCAGAAAAAAAAGGAGGGCTGCCTAGGTTGCGAGTTCAAATCATTAAAAAAAAGTTGAGTCTGTGTTGAGTCACTGGTGCGACTTATGTCCAACTTGTTCCATGACTCAAATTGTCGTCCCTGATGAGATCTCCTGCCCGTTTTTGATGCCATCCTGTTGAGTAGAAGAAATGGGCATGGATCGTCAAGAGAAGCAGGGTTATCCATGGATGGGGGGGCAGCTCTTGGGAACCGAACATTGAAATGATGGTTGGGTTCAGAAAGGAAAGGAAATGGACTCATACAAGTTTTTTTTCCCCAATTTTCCTGGATTAGTTTTTCAGAATAGCCGCAAATAACCATTTTTATAAGTTCTGAGAAACTGGGAAATGACAGCATGCTCACAAAATGGCCTTTTCTTGCAGCCCAACTGAGGCCTGCTTCCTTATCTCTTTCTAGGATGGGAATCTCAGCTTCTGGAAACGGGTTTTTTAGCCATATTCCTTTGTCCTCTTTGGACCCTCTCCCAGTTGCCCAAACGGACGCCTCCTTCCCGCATCGTCATCTGGGGCTACCGGTGGCTGATTTTCAGAATCATGCTGGGAGCGGTAAGTGAATGTTGAATTTTGTTTGATTTCCCACGTCTTGTTTCCTACGGGGAATCAAGTTTTCAAGGAGACCTCTTCCTTTCTTAAAAGTTGCAACAGACGGACGGTTGATGAGCTGTGCTGTCTGGCTTATGGTGAGGATATCAATTTATAACCTTGAACCAGGTCCTTTCATCAGATCTTCCTAACTAAAGCCCATGGCTTCTTTTACCCAGTCCGTCCATCTCATATTCAGATTTCCTCTTTTCCTGCTATCTTCGACTTTTCTCAGCATTATTGTCTTTCCAGTGTGTCTTGTCATCTCATGACCTTTATTTACTACTTCCTAACTAAAGCCCATGGCTTCTTTTACTCAGTCCATCTCATATTCAGATTTCCTCTTTTCCTGCTATCTTCGACTTTTCTCAGCATTATTGTCTTTCCAGTGTGTCTTGTCATCTCATGACCTTTATTTACTAAAAAAATTGCAGGTGGATATTTGTAACTTGAATATTTTTATACTCATCTCAAGATGAAGAGAGAAGTCTGCTTAATTAAAATACTGGCTACGGAGCCAGAGGTGGGGAGTTCGATTCCCCACTCGCCCCCTCTTGACAGGGGCTGGAGAGAGGTTGGGAGTTTGATTCCCCACTTGCCCCCTCTTGACAGGGGCTGGAATCAACAATCCATAGGATGCCTTCCAACTCTGCTGCTCTAAGATGATGATGGAGAGGATTATGTTTGTGTTAATGTGCTGTCAAGTAAGAACAGACTTCCAATTACCCTATTGAGGTTTTCAGGGAAAGTGAGATGTTTAAGGAGTGGTTTTATCACTTCTGCACCCCCACTGGGTTTCCACGGCTGATTCGAACCCAGGCCTGCTGATTCCTAGGCCATCACTGTATCCACTACACCACACACCACATATGGGGAAAAAACATTTACCGTGGTTCTGGGAGGTGGATTGTAGCAATTTTAAAAGAGAGAGGTGTAGACCTTCCCTACTAAGATTGAATCCACGCAACGGAGTGAACTCCCATCTCTCATCCCAGCTCCTTCCAACCTAGCGGTTCGAAAGCATGTAAGAATGCAAGTAGATAAATAGGTACCACCTCGGTGGGAAGGTAATGGCGTTCTGTGTCTAGTCGCGCCGGCCACGTGACCACGGAAGATTGTCTTCAGACAAAACGCTGGCTCTACAGCTTGGAAATGGGGATGAGCACCGCACCCTAGAGTCGGACACAACTGGGCTAAATATCAAGGGGAACCTTTTTACTGGTATGTCCCAGCCCATGTAAGAATGCCAGTGTTCTAGAATTGCTGAAATCAATTGCTTCCAAAACACACACACACCCCCAATTTCCCCAAGCAAAAGCTGCTTGTTTAAATCCATTTGCTGAGCCGTGCTGGGCCAAGCTGCAAATTCTGGAGGGCTCACTGTCAAAGTGGTGAAGAACCTCCTACCTCGTTGTAACTGAATGAATGGAAATGAGGGTCTCTCTGGGTCTCTGAAGAGTCCTCTCACTTTCCTTGGTTTTTTTTTTCTTGTCTTCTGTATCCAAACAGATACAGGGGGTGGGCGGGCGGTGGGAAATGACCCTTCCCTTGCTCCATCAGCACCGTCCATTCTTGGATCTCTTCCTTCCATGATTCAGATTGCGGAGGGGGGGGGAGAGAGTCGGGAGAGAAGGGTCGGCTCGGTCAACCCCTCCTGTTGCCCCCGCGATGACTCCGCATCCTCCCGAGAGGTCCGGGGGGTCTGCAAAACCAATCAAGGCTTCTCTTCCTCTGTGCATCCAGCAGCGAGGGACTCCTCGAGGCAGAAGGCTGCACCTGCTCCCTCCGGCCAGAGTTTAATCATGCAAAAATGATTTCTGGAGGGTTTTTTTTTTAAAACACAGAATCATTTTTTTTGCAACAGGCCTGCCGGCCTTTGGAATAATTGCTCTCCAGGCAACAGAGGAACCCCAGCCAGGTTTGGGTTTATTTGCAAACCGTCTCCCACTGAAGCCCTACTGTTTGCCTTTTACCTAGGGGACAAAAATAAAATAAAATAATATACATATAACAAACTACATAGATAGATAGATAGATAGATGATAGATAGATGATAGATAGATAGATAGATAGATAGATAGATAGATAGATAGATAGATAGATAGATAGATAGATTAGATAGATAGATAGATAGATAGATAGATAGATAGATAGATAGATA